CTAGTCATGAACTCCATCAAACACAGCGTTGTTTCCACCCTCATCAATGGCAACCCTTCCAAAAGCTTCAATCCCAAGAGAGGTGTAAGACAGGGAGATCCTTTATCCCCCTACATCTTCATCATTGCCATGGAAGGCCTCACAAGATCCCTTAATCACCTCCACAACTCTGGCCAGATTAGAAAATACAACACGGGGAGGATCCAAACAATAAATCATCTTACCTTCGCAGATGACGTATTGATCTTCACAAACGAATCCCTACCCAATCTCAAAAAACTCAGAAGTTTCCTCACCACATTTGAGGAAGCAACTGGCCTCCACCTTAACCTTGCAAAAAGCCAGATCCTCTCCCCCAAACCTTCATCTAATCACACTAAGCGCCAAGCAAACTGCCTAGGAATGAAAGTAGCCCCCCTGCCCATCACTTACCTTGGTGTTCCTCTCTACAAGGGGATTAACAGAGCCAAATACTGCCAGGACCTCCTTAGGAAAATTGATCTCAAGCTTTCAAGCTGGAAAATGCATACTCTCTCCCAAGCTGGCAGGCTAACGCTCATCAAACATGTCCTTCTTCCAAACTTCCTAAGCTGATCCTTTCATTGATTGAGAGCAAACTCCGTCAATTTTTTTGGGGGAGTAATGCTGATGGCTCTAAGAATGCATGGGTTTCATGGCTTCAAATTTGCAATCCGGTAGATGAAGGGGGACTAGGAATTCCAAACCTTAGCCTCCTTCAACAGTCCCTGGGGTGTAAACTTTGGTGGAAATACTATTTCACCTCCTCACCATCGGTTTCCTTCATTAAGCAAAGATATCACCGTAGAGGTTTCTTCACCACCACTATCATAGATAGCCCGGTTTGGAAGAGAATTTGTCAAGCTCATGAATTCTGCTCCTCCAACTCTAATTTCACTAATGGCACTCTCACATGGGAGCTAGGAGATCAAGGTTCCTTCTCCCTCAAAAAGGTTTCCCTTGCTCTCCAGGAATCAGATCCCTCCACGCTCACGGCAAAAATTCCTTGGCCCAAAAAAGGAATCCCAAAGGAAAACCTATTCCTCTGGAAAACCCTAAACAAAGCAACCCCCTTCTCCAACAACCTTCAAAGGTTTGGCTTCAATCTCCCCTCCATGTGCATGTTTTGTTCCCAAGCAAGCGAAACAGACTACCACTGCCTTATGTTGTGTCCTAAAACCAGCAACATCTGGAACAACATAGGGAAACTACTACACATGCCTATGATATCCAACTTCTCCTTCCAGCATAACCTAATCATGTGGTGGCTGTCCACGTCCCCTACTGATCATCTCTACCATGTCAAACGTATTATCCCAACCATCATCATTTGGGAGATCTGGAAAGCATACAACAGGGTTAAAGTGAACCTGGAACACTTTAAACCAGAGAAAATCCTAGAAGGAACCAAGCATACCCTAAATGCATGGTCCTTAGCAAACAAAGGAATGCACCTTCCAATCACGCTCCATCGGACTCCTCTCAAGCCATTCAAGCTTATTCGATGGATCCCTCCCAACCCCTTCCATTTCAAACTCAACGTTGATGGTAGTGCAAACCCTCGGGGTAGCGGCGGTGGAGCTGTTTTAAGAGATCACCAAGGCAACTTTCTTCATGCTTTAGCTTTTCCCTTACCTAGAACTTCACCACTATCCACAGAAGCCCTTGCAATGCTGCAAGCCCTCCGTTATTACTCCTTCCCAAACATGGTCGTTGAAACCGACAGCATGGAACTCCTACACATGTTACGTGATGTCCCAACGTCGAATACTCTCTTATTCATCAAGGAGAAGATAGAAACTCTAAATCTACGTCTCTCCCACACCCTCAGAGAAGCCAATGGTGCGGCGGACCTCCTAGCTAAACAGGGAGCAAGGAATTCTCAATGTGTTTACATTGATTGCTTTTCTTCACTTCCTAGAGCTATCTCTACTGTAATCTCTTTGGACAAACTTGTCCCCTTTATTAGAGTGCAATAAAAACCTCCCCCATTAAATAAATAAATAAATAAATATATATATATATATATATATATATATATATATGAGAGTTCAGACAGATCAGGAACAAGCGCTCATCAGTCGTTCTGATCCGGTATTCAGGGGGTTAGAATGGGACAGATCCAGTATTCCGATAAGTACACGGATGACACTCACGAGTATAGGCATGTGATTCTCCCATCGGAAGTGGCGAAATTGCTTCCTAAGAATAGGCTTCTTTCTGAAACTGAGTGGAGAGCAATGGGAGTTCAGCAGAGCCGCGGATGGATCCACTACGCCATTCACCGACCAGAGCCGCACATCATGCTTTTCAAGAGACCACTGAACGCTCCGCAGCAATTGGCGAACGGACAAGCTCAGTAAACCCGGTGGTTCCCGAGTGACTCAATCTGATGCTTACATTTTGTATTTTTCCCAAGTAAAAACATTAGATAGGGCAATTTCTTTACTGTTTGAGAGAGGCTGTCTTCTCCCTTGGTAGACATTATTTCTTCTATGTATGGTGATGGTTCTGTGATATTTTATGTGAATATATATATATATATATATATATATATATATATATATATATATATATATATTTGGAAGTTTCGTTCGAATCAGTGCAGGATCCAAAAGGGTGCTGTCTTCTATTTGCATCCTAGTAGGTAGGAAATCAGAAGGAATTAAGCTGTTTGTAAAAGCATTGGATGAAGCTTTAAAATCTCTAGTAGGGACTGTATCTGCTCTCCATTATATGAGAGGGACCTCTCGTCTTCGAAGTTAGAGTGTTCTAAACTGTCTGGTCTACGAAGCCCACCTCTCCCATCTCCTTCCTGTGAACTCCAAGGGAAGGTATAGGAGTTTAGAAGACCTAGTTCTACAATGTGTCCAAAGTGTTTACCGATCGGAGTGTCTTGTTCCCAATTTACGACCCGGTCTTCTGATTAAGGAAGCTGAAGAAGAAGAAAATAAGATCCAACAGTTATTTCAACCAGCCGTTGAGGCCTACTTCGAAACAATCTTCAGGGCAGTGGAAAGACAGGTTCAAGAGGCTTTGGCGAGGACATCACTACTGGATAAACTGAAAATGGGACTCTTCCAAAACATGAAGGGTAAGACAATAAGAGCGACACGGGAGACGGTGAAAAGCATGGAAAAAGTGACCCTAGTTCAATTTGAAGATTCCAAATACCCAGTTTTCATCTCTTGTTCCAAAGCTGATGAACAGCTTGTGGCGGATTATCTTACCGGGGAATAGGCTGAAGAGTCACAAGATTAAATTTGTTACTGTTTAGTCTTTTTCTTTTAATGCATCCAGGAAAACATAACGAGTGGTTTGGTTTTGTTTCTAGCTACTAGTTTCATTTGATGCTTGTTGTCTTTAGTAGCTCAAGGGAGGACCTAAAGAAGATGGTTTAACTTTGCTTCATTCCAGGGGTTTAAAGAAAAGGGCTCTCAATGTTTTATTGGAAATTAGGCATTCTGCTTTGGAATATGCATAAGGATTAGACAGGTTTATTGTATTTGGAGTAGCATATTCATCATCCTACTATGAGGGTCATACATAGACACTACGAGGGTCATACATAGACAGGCTTTTGTACTTTCTTCCTTGTTTTGTTGTAATGGATGGAATTTGGACGGTACTCCTGGCTGTGATATTTGGGTTGATAAACTACAGGATGGCCTACATTGTAAGTTTTTTTTTGGGATGCAGATATGGGTGTAGCTGGAGGTCTTTTAATCCAGCTCCTCTTTTCCTTTAGTTACTGGCAGCTTCTCTTTTTAAGTTTTGTAGTTTGGCAGCTCTTCTTGTACTCCCTTGTTGATTGGATTTCCTTTTGGCCTATTGTCGGGCTGGCCGCCCCCCTTGTTCCTTCATTTTCCTTTAATAATATTTTCCTATTCAATATATATATATATATATATATATATATATATATATATATATATATATATATATATATATATATATATATATATATATATATATATATATATATATATATATATGTATGTATGTATGTGTGTGTATATATATATATATATATATATATATATATATATATATATATATATATATATATATATATGCAAAGAAATCAAGTTTTATTAATGAAAACGGAAAGAAGGGTTACAATCATGATACACATTATTTTTAACAACATCCGGGCAAAGGTTAATATGTAAATATTCTATGAAAGGGGAGTCATTAGGCCTGTCCACCTTTGCAAGAGCGTCCGCCACCGAATTCCCTTCCCGGAGAATATGAGAAACCTGGATCCCATTTTGGAGTTTAATTTGACCCAAAATGTCAATTTGGAAAGAAGACCTTGAGTGTTATTTAAACTTAGGGATTCTGGAAATAATAGACCTTGCATCTGTTTCAAAAACCAATGAATTGGAAATCTGGAGAGCCCATTTAATAGCCTTAATAGCAGCTTCCACCTCAGCTTGGTAGGCGCTCTTAGTGTTTAGCTTGAAAGAGGCCCCTCGAACCAATCTTCCTTCGGCATCTCTTAAGATAGCCGCCCCTCTCTGTTGTTTTATAGTGTAGGACGCATCCACATTTAGCTTAAGTCTCCCTTTAGGAGGAGCCATCCATTTAACCATGCGGACTGAGTTGTTGGTTGTGAACCTGGGAATAAGATTATGATTGAACAGCCAGGAATCAAAATGTTGAAGTTTCCGGAGAGTCTTGATGGATAGCCATTGTTTGGTATAAGAAGCAACCTGATGAATAAGGCTTTGAACATTAATAATGTGACAGTCCCCATAAATAATCTCATTCATCTTCTTCCAGATGTGCCAAGTAATGATTCCTGGTAAATCTTTTTGAAGTAGACCATAAAGATTAGGCGTGTTCCTCAACCACCAGTTCATAAAATGTTGGTTGATAGTGGGTGATTCTGTATGAAGGAAGTTTAAGCAGCCAGCGAAGTATCTCCATATATCAACAATCTTATCACAATCAATCAGGCAGTGTTTCGCTGAGAGGCTTGAATTCCTGCAGAAAGGACACATAGAAGGAAGAGAAAAACCCAGCCTTCTAAGATTATCAGGGATTGGGAGGCATTTGCGTAAAAGTTTCCACATGAAGATGCTTATCTTAGATTTTTTTGGGGATTCCCAAATACATTGAAACGCAAAGGAAGGGTTAGATTTAGGCCTGCAAATCTCATAGGCACTCCCAAGGGTGAAATCCCTGGTTTGATCTTCATTCCAAATAAAACTCTCTTCTTCAGTTATGTGGCAGTGATTGAGAGCTTTGGTGTTAATCCTGGAGATCCTGGTCCAGATAGGAGAGTCCACTAAGTGACATTCCATCTCCCCATTTCTTTGATATTTAGCCTTCATGAACCTCCCCCAAAGGCTGTTATTATGATGGAATTTCCACCATAATTTGAGACTAAAGGCTTCCTCTAAAGCATGGAAATCTCTTGTGCCTATTCCCCCTTCTTTCTTTGGTAAGGAAAGAGTCTCCCATTTCAGCCAATGATGATTTTTCTTGCCACCACCCCACCAGAAACTTGTCATTTTCTGATGGAGAAGGTTGGTGATGGTTTTTGGGAGAGTGTTTGCAGCCAAGAAGTAGTTAGGGATGGTATTAAGGACATGGTTAATCAGGATTAACCTACCTGCTTGGTCCAAGTTCTTTTGATACCATCCATTTAGTTTCTTTTCAAAGGAAGATATCAACCTTGTACAGTGTTGTTTCCTTGTGATGCCAGAATGGATAGGGCTGCCCAGGTAGGAAAAAGGAAGTTTTCTATGTGGCATGTTTAACAGTTGTTCCAGCTTCCTTATCCTCAGAGAATTAAATTTTTTCCCAACCATAAAGCTGCTTTTAGAGGAATTAATAGTTTGACCAGAAACCTGCTGGTATTTAGTCAAGAATTTCTTCAAGTTGCTAACAGATCTGGTATGAGCATTGGTGAAGATTACGAGGTCATCTGCATAAGCCAAATGGGTAACAGGAATGCTGTTTCTGCCACAGTTGAATCTACCCAAGGAGCCAGTTTGAAACAGATAATTAATATTCCTGGAGAAGCCTTCATTAGCAATAATAAAGAGGAGGGGGGAGAGGGGGTCCCCTTGTTTAATTCCCCTAGTTTGGCCAAAGAAACCACAAGGTTTCCCATTGAGAAAAATGGAATATTTGGATGCATGAAGGAGGCATTTGATCATAGTTAAGAATTGTGGGCAGAAACCGAACCTTTGAAGTATATCAATGAGATAGGACCATTTTAACTTATCAAAGGCTTTGGCCATATCTAATTTAATGATAATGTTACCACTCTCAGCCTTTGTATCAATGTTATGAGCCATTTCTTTAGTGAGAAGAATCTGCTCCACCATGATATCCCTTCCAGCAACAAATGCCCCTTGCTCTTCAGAGATGATCAAAGGAAGCACTTTGCTAAGTCTTCTGGCAACGCATTTTGTAGCAATTTTGGAGGCCACAGTTGATAAACAAACCGGCCTAAAGTCATTGAGTCTAGAGGCATTTTCGCATTTGGGAATAAGACAAATATTGGTACTTGCAGCAGCTACAGGTAGTGGGATGCCCAAGAAAACTTCCTGACAGGCAGATGTGACCTCCTTGTGCACAATTTCCCAGCATTCTTTAAAGAAGTTGACATTAAATCCATCAGGACCAGCACAACAGTTGGCTTCCATATCAAAAAGGGTGGCTTTGACTTCATCTTCTGAAGGGAGATGTAACAGCTCCTGGTTATGATGTTGATCTAAAATTTTTGGGGTGTTGGACAAGAAAGCATCATAATCTTGAGATGAGGGGGCAGGTTCCTCATAGTTGAACCGTTTATGGTAGTGTGAAGTAACCATATTTTCTAAGACTGTTGGATTCTCCTGAAACTTCCCTTGATCATCTTTTAAGCCCATGATTTTTTGCTGTCTCCTTCTCTCTTTGACCAAATTATGAAAAAATTTGGTATTAGCATCACCTTCTTTAAGCCACTTGAGATTACATTTTTGTTTCCAGTAGCTATGTTCCAAATTTCCAACCTGCAAAAGTTGAGCTTTTTTCAGATTGACAATTTCTCTATTAGCCTCTGTAGGTTCCCTCTCATAGTTAATTTCAGCTGTAGAGGCCTCTTCTTCAGCTTCTTTCAACAGGTCAAAAATATTTCCAAATTGTTCCTTATTCCAGGATGCAATTTTGGATTTAAGGTGGCTCAGTTTATGGAAGAGGCATTTCATTCCTCCATAATAAGGGATTTCTAACCACCAGGATTTACATAAATTCTTGAAGTCCTTATTAAGCAGCCACATGTTTTGAAACCTGAAGGACTTTGGGGCTGAAGTTGCTGAAGTTTTGGAGGAGATTAGAATGGGAGAATGATCACTGCCTTGCTTTGAAAGATGTTTCATTGAGATATCTGTCCAAAGATTGTTCCATCTGTCATTGAAAAAAATCCGGTCTAACCTCCTCCACACATTGCCATTACTTCTAGTTCCATGCCACGTATATACTGGACCAGTGAAATTACTTTCAAGAAGATTGCAGTCTTTAATACAGGAATTGAAGTCCTCCACACTTTCCAAGTCAGGGAGCTTCTTCCCATGGTGGTGAAGGATATCTAAAATGGCATTGAAGTCTCCTCCTATTAGCCAGGGAAGAGAATTGGAGTTATTAAAGGTCTTGATTTCCTCCCAAAGTCCTTTCCTACAAACCACTGAATGTCCTCCATACACCCCACTAAGGACAAAGGTTGAATCATCTTGGAAAACCTTCATGATGAAGTGAGAAACCTGGTTTTGCTCAAAATGATCCAAGAGAATAAATTTCTCCTTATTCCAATATAACCAAATTCTATTATTGCATGTACTAAGAAAGCCATTAAGACCAATTGAGAAGCCAATATTTGGTCCTTTAGAAGAAGCAAGCATAGGTTCAATAACAATAATAAAGTCAAGAGAGTGGTGCTTATTCAACAGGGATAGTCTCTTGCACCTCTGAGACACACCCCTCACATTCCAAAAAAGAGCATTAATCATGGAAGGGTTAGGAAAACCCCATTACCAGATTTTTTAAAACCTGATCGTGTACAGATCCTTGTAAAATGAGTATCAGATGGAGAAGAGGGAGCTGACATGGAGATTGTCTTTAATGGAATATCATCAGATTCCTCAAGCCTGTGGACCCGGACAGGATCAAGAGGAGGGAGTGGAGAAACTTGTGGAAGTGGGGACATAGTTGCAAGAGAAACTTGTGGTATTGGGGGCACAGTTGCAAGAGGAGGGAGTTGTGAATGGGCCAACCCAGAAGGGTCCAAGAAAAGGACATTAGTGGAAGGTAAAAAAACTGGAGGCCGTCTCAAAGTACCCGATTTGAAAGTTTCCCCATGTACCTCTCCTGAAGTGGGTTTAGGGGCCCAAACAAGAGAGACAGGTTTGGAAGCATTACCTTGTTTTGGTGCTATTAGAGCTTTGCCTTTCTGAATGACTTTGGTCCATCCCTCTTGAGTCACAACGTCGTTATTCTCCTGGTTTTTCTAGACCGGAATATCCCTTTTCGCCGGTAGCTTAACCGGTGACAGTTGAAGTTTTCCGGGTAGTAAACCTTCCCAACAAAGGGTCAGTTTTCTCTCCGAGTGTCGTATCTCTCGAGGAGTGGACGAAAGGTATCAGTTTAATTACTCTAACTAGGCGAAGATTAGGATTGGTTTATGAAAGTCTTCTCGGAACGATTATAAAAAAGGGGAGCAGAGTAAAAATAATAAATTAAGTTTACATGGTATAAGTATAGATCTGGACCTAGGGTCAAGACATCATCTGGATCTATTTTATCATATTAAATTAACAATTGGAATAATAATATTTCTATTACTACTCATCCATTTCTAGATTTGTACTTAATCCGTTGCACTTGAATATCATAGCCTTTTGGCATATAATATTTTCTCAATAAATAGCTAATTAAATCCTTCGAGTTTAATTAACTACATAAGGCAAGAACAATAGATTAACCATTCCAACATTAATTTAACATCAAAAAATAAACAACCAAACTAGTCCGGACCCAGAGATCCGGACCCTAACTCATACTATGCAAACATGAATTAAAATAGCATTTTATTAAATAAAGAACACTTACAACCTTCGTAAAAAGCGGAACAGAACAGATCTGGAGTCAAAACCTCCGAAAATACTTCAAACTAACTACTAAAACTAATATACAAGCTAAAATGGAGACGGGATATGTAAATCCCGAAGTTGGGATGGAATGGGATAGTAAAAATGAGAAGAATCGTGCTGTATTTATAGGAACGAATCCAAGGCGTCCAAGTCCAAGCATCCAAGTCCAAGCGTCCAGATCTGGACGCCTGAGCTGTCCCGGCCAACCAGATTTTGCCACGTGTCATTCTTGGGCTGCAATTAAGCCAAAGCGTCCAACTTCAAGCGTCCAACTTCAAGCGTCCAACTTGGCCAAGCGTCCAAGTTGGACGCCTGGAGGCCTTGGTCCGTTGGGCTTCGCGGCTGTTACGTTATTTTGGCCCAATTTCGCTCCGTTTTGGCCCCGAACACTGTTTTTGACCTCCCGGAAGCTCGTTCAAGTCCGAATCTTGATCCCTTGATGATTTATTCCCTTTTTCTCAAATACTTTGAACAAAAATGAATGATTTATGATGATTTCATGTGGAATCCCATTTTCTGACTCTTAGAACGAAAATGAGAGTTTTATCCATTAAAATCACATTTTATGAGACGATTAAATACTATTTACGTGCAATAACGTTTAGAATATGATGTAAATGATAAGAACGAAACGGACTTATCAACCGGTTTACAGGATAGTTGATTGTGTCCCAATTTCCGGCAAGAACTGCAGAAAAGTGGGGCTTCCTCATAGATAACCTGGAAGAAAAGATCAGTATCATTGTGTTTGACATGAATGCGTTGGTGGAGCGTCTTCGAAACATCAACTTCTACACAGACCCTAGCAAGCTTGGGCCTTGAGAAGTTAAGAGTAGCATTGTCCATTTTCAAAGGAGTCCCCAACATGGAGGCAATGCTAAAAAGAGCAGATTGATGATGAAGGTGAATTGGAAGATTAGGGATGGAAATCCAGACCGGAACAATAGGTGAATCTTCTTCTTGGGTTAAGGTTAGAGACCATTTGGTAACAGACATGGTGTCTTTACCAATGGTCCAAACCTTACGATAGAAAAACCTTTGGTAGTCTTCGTCCTGCTCGAAATTGATGAGGAAGTTGTTGGTAAAGAGTTCTCCCACTGTGAACCCTCCAGAGAAACCCAGCCGAGTTAGGAAATTCTTAACCACCAGAAGAGGTGGTCTTCTCCTGAATTTCCCAATCAGAGCGTATCTAAAACGTAAAGCCAGGCCATCAACATCCTCCTTGGAGAAAGTTATGGACGGGCAACCCTTGAACATGCTCTTAATGTGTTGTGAACCAACAGGTTCGTTAATTGCAGGAGTTTGCTTGAAAAGATCAGAGAAAAGTTTGGACCTCACTGGATGGACGCCGGAAGACACCGAGGGCTTATCGTCGGCTTGCACCGGCGGCTTATCGCCGTCTTTAGAGAGAGAGAGCATTATATATATATATATATATATATATATATATATATATATATATATATATATATATATATCTGTGTGTGTGTGTGTGTATATGTATATATAATTAAGGGAAAAAGGGAAGAGGGTTACATCAAAAATATGAACACGGGTAGAGCTAAACCTCCATCACATCTCGCCTATGCAGACGATGTAATATTCTTTCTTAATGGGCATTCCAGATACTTGATCAGACTCAAAGGGCTGCTGGACATATTTCTCAAAGCATCTGGTCACCTCATAAATCTCAACAAAAGCTTCTTTTACACAAACCCAAAGGTTAGGCCGGCCATCAGACAAAATATGCATAAAGCATTGCAAATGAGGGAAGGGAAACTGCCTTTCCAATACCTAGGAGCAACTATTGGTAAAGGGAAACTTAAAAAAGAGGACTGTAAGAGGATTGTCCAACATTTCGAGGGATACCTTAACACTTGGCACAGCAAGGTCCTCAACCAAATGGGCAGGTTAATCCTCATCAAGCACGTTCTAAGCTCTATCCCATTACACATTCTAGCGGTCCAACAGATGCCCAAATCCATTCACAACACACTCAACAAGATGATGGAGAATTTTCTTTAGGGACACAAAGATGGGAAACCCAAATATCACTGGAAGTCCTGGAGAAATGTTTGCTTCCCCACATGCGAAGGAGGACTTGGGATTAGGCATTTGGAGGATATTGAAGCTGCTTATTCGTCAAAAATCTGGTGGAAGATCAGAAATTCAGAAGGGATATGGGGAAAATATATGAGAAGCAAATACTGGCCAGATTCATTTCATGAATACCACACGGACACTGTCACCTGGAAAAGAGCAGCCCGTATACACAACTGGGCTCTTGAGCATGTTCATACCATCTCTGGGACAGAAATGTGGGAGGGGAATCCATTCTCCTTCAAGCTTGCTTATAACTCTTGGAGGGAAGCTAAGCCCTCCTCTCTCTTGTGCAAAATGGCCTGGTCAAAACTTCAAATCCCTAAAATCAGACTGTTCCTATGGAAAGCTCTTCACAATCTCCTGCCTTTCCCAGACAACCTAGCCAGNGGGTCTTCGTTCCAACCTACGCAAGCCTTCTACCTTGTTTATGTAATACATTTTGTTGTTCTTTTTCGGTGGGCAGAACCTTTCTCCCACATTGCTGTAATTGCTTCTTTTATCCATTATGCAATAAAATTTTATTATTTAAATATATATATATATATATATATATATATATTTCAAAAGTAAGTTTTATTGAAGAAGAAAGAGAGTTGATACATGGGGGCATGGCCGTAAAAAAGAAAAATCAAACAACACTTTTAAATAAAACTCTACGACCATTGTTCCAAAAAGAATCAATCCCCAAGCCATTGAAATCTTCATCCTTGATCATCCACTTTTTGTTCCTATTTATCCATGCCCACGGTTGTAGGGATTTGAGGCATGAATGAAATATTCCCTCTGCCGTTGGTTTCGATGCATTGTGGATGCTGGAGTTACGTGCCTTCCAAAGGGACCAGGTGCAAATTCCTGGTAAAATGAGACGAAGGGTACCTTTGAAGTGTTTGGTGTTGCTTCCCAACCACCATGCAAGGAGATGTTGGCGCAGTGTGGTGCCCTTCTTCACCCTAGGTCCATTGTCCATTATGGCAAGCTTGTTCCATACGTGGGAGGCTATTGGACATTGGAGTAAGCTGTGATCCATGTCATCATTGTTGTTTTGGCATAAAAGGCAAAGGCTTGGGAGATGACAGGTGAATCTGCAGATGTTTTGTGGGAAGGGGAGTCCCTCATTGAGTAATTTCCATAAGAAAATCCTGATTTTTGGTGTGTTTGAGCTGTGCCAAATGTATTTGCAAGAGAGTAGGTTTGGTCCACTATCTTGAACCACCTTGTAGGCTTCCTTGAGATTGAAAGTACCTCCGTTCCAGAGCATATCTTCGCCTAAAACAGTGGTATGGGAATCTGCAAGTACATTTGTTCTACAAATTCTCTTCCAAGTGGGAGAGTCAGTGATGTTCTCCTTTATGATTCCTGTTTTCATATATTTTGCTCTCACAAATGGTCCCCGGATGCCCACATCAATTTTTGCCTTCCACCAGAGCTTGAGAGTGTACACTTGATGTTGGTCTACCAAGCTTTTGATTCCAAGACCCCCCTCTTTCTCTGGTTTTGTAAGTTTGTTCCACCTTATCGAGTGATATTTTTGTGCACCCTCCTTTTGTCCCTAGAGGAAATTAGCCATGTACTTGGTAAGAGTATGGATGATATATTTAGGAAGGGTGTGCACTGCAAGTATGTGTAATGGGATTGATGAAAGCACATGCTTGATAAGGATAAGTCTGCCCATTTGGTTCAAGGTTTTGCTATACCAGAAGTGGATGCGTTTCTCAAAATGTCCTAGGATGTCCTTGCAGTGTTCTTTTCTCAGAATCCCATGACAAATAGGTGCTCCCAGGTGGGTGAAAGGAAGTTTGCCTCTACTAATTCCAATAGCCTTCTCCATATGTTGAATCTGTGAGGTGGTTGTGTTATTGGAGGTGTAAAATTTACTTTTGTTTAGGTTGATCTCCTGTCCTGATGCCTTGAGGTATGTGTCTAGTGTGGATTTGAGTTTGAGGAGGTTTCTTGAGTCACCCCGGGAAAAAATCATAATATCATCTGCATAAATAAGGTGGGAAGGGAATTTGACCTGTCCTGAGTTAAATCTGAGGAGATGAGATGAGTCCATATGCTGATTTATGAGTCTGCTGAATCCTTCTGCTGCAAGAATGAATAAAAGAGGGGAGAGGGGGTCTCCTTGTTTGACCCCCCTCTCCATTTTGAAATAACCCGCTGGCTCACCATTGAGAAGGATGCTGAAATAGGACCCTCTAAGATTAGCCATTAAAAGTGTTGTTGACAGATTGCTGAATCCAAAAGCCTTAAGTAATGCTTCAAGATATCCCCAGTCAAGTTTATCAAAAGCTTTTGCCATGTCTAGCTTTAGAATAAAATTTCCCCCAAACACCTTTTTGTCAAGGAGGTGGACAGCTTCTTGTGCCATAAGGATATGGTCTTCAATGGATTTTCCTTTTTGAAATGCTACTTGTTCCTTAGAAATCAATTTGGGCAGAATTTTGTTGAGTCTGTTTGCAAGGAGTTTGGTATTAATTTTGCTCATGAAAGTGGAGAGAGAAATAGGCCTGTAGTCTTCAAATCTTTTAGGGTTATCAGTTTTTGGGATGAGGGTCAAAAAAGTGCTTCCATAAGCTCTAGGAATAGGTTGCCCCATAAAGAACTCTTGAGATGCAGTGAGAACATCCTGTCTGATAGTTTCCCAGGTAGCTTTGAAAAAATTTCCATTGAACCCATCAGGTCCACTTGCACTATTGCCATCTAATTCCCAAACAGCCTATTTAACTTCATCCATAGAGGGGATGGCACAGATTCTGACGTTATCATCTGAGGTTAGGATCAAGGGGATGAGAGGAAGGATAGGATCAAAAGAAGGATGTTGGCATTGCTTGAAGCTGTTTTCAAAGAAGGAGATGGCTTCTGTCTTGATCTCAGAGGGGTTGCTAGTGCCTGCTCCATTTGGTTTAATAATATGAGATATAGAGAGTTTCCTTCTCTTTCCTTTAACATAGGCTTGAAAGAGTTTGGAGTTGGAATCTCCCTTTTCCAGCCATCTAATGTTTGCCTTTTGCTTCCAGTATTGGACTTCCAGGTTTGTGGCATAAATCAAGGCTGCATTGGCTTTCTGCATAATTTCTCTATTTTCTTATGAAGGATTGATCTCAAAATCCTTTTCCGTTTCCAAAGCTTTGTCTTCTACTTGTTGAAGTTGGGAGAAAATGTCTCCAAAAGTTTCCTTGTTCCAGATTTTAAGGGCTGCTTTGAGGCTAGATAGTTTGTTAGCCAATCCCCTCATTCCTCCTATGGTGGGCAGATTACCCCAAGTCTTTTGAACCATGGAATGGAAGGTGTCATGCAAGGTCCAAGCATTAAGGAATCTAAAAGGCTTTGGACCAGTAGGAGTGGACTTACTACAATGTACCAAAAGGGGTTTATGATCTGAATTGAATTTGGACAGGTGCTTTAAGGAGACATCATCATAATAACCTAGAAGAGAAATATTAGCCAGTATTCTGTCGAGTCTCCTCCAGGTCCTTCCTTAGCTCTGAGTCCCAGACCAAGTGAACAAACCACCTTGTGGTTCCAGTGTGATCAAGTTACAGTTTGAGATACATTCTGAAAATTCTTCCATACCTTGAGAGCTTGGGATACATTTCCCTTTGAATTCAGTAAGGGATGCAATGGTGTTAAAATCTCCCCCAATTATCCATTGATGATTGAGCTTGCTGTAATTCTGAAGATTGCTCCAAAGATCTCTCCTGTCAGCTATAGAGTGGGCACCATAGACTAAGGATATGATGATAGGTTATTGGGATGCTGTGAGGGTGAAATGGCAGTGGGTGATCTGGTTTTCATCTTGGTAAGAGGTAAGGACAAGGTAGTCATTATTCCAGAAAATCCATCTCTTATTATTAGAGGAGCAAAGAGCATTAATTAGAAAAGCCAAGATGGAGTCTGAAGATTTCAAGTTGGCTGTTGGAGGTAATGGGTTCAATGACACAAACGAAATGAAGATTATGTTTCCTCTTGAGGAATATGAGCCTGCTGAGGGAGGAACTTACCCCACAGGCATTCCAAAATATGAGCTTCATAAGGGATGGTTGGGGGGTACAACCTTCCTTGTCTTGCTCCTGGTTGCATAACCAGTGAGACCATGTGATGCTTTTTCAAATCCTGATTTCTGTAAAGGCATTGAGACTTTAGAGCACAATGATAAGTCCATCTCCATAGGAGAAATAGGGGTTTGCTGAGGAGTGGGTTGGTCTCCCTCTGAGTGGTAGCCCAAAGGTGAGATACTTTTAGGATCTTCATTGTCAAAGTCCTCAGGCTCCCAAGAAGGATCAGAGGTTATGGGTAAGAAAGAGTCATCTTTACTCCCTGGAATAGGCTGAGGGGAAAGAGGATGGATGAAGGGGATTATCTCTTGGCAAGAATTATTAATACCGGGATAAAGGAAAGAAAGGTCTGGGGGGAAGGGAGGTGGCGGCAAAGGGGGGGTTAGGGTTTGCAAGGGTGAAGGTGGTAGGGCCCGGTACAAAGTGGGTTTATGGAGAGGTGATTCATCATCTGAGGTGTCTTCCACAATGGGAGGGAGTAGTGGCATGCAGGGTTTGGGAAAAAACTGAGGACAAGCTGCCAAAGAGGAAGTGGAAGTCCTAGGGGTACCAGGGTTTTTGGAGTATAGCTGTTGGTGAGAATTAATAATGGGTTGTTGGGAAAGGGGCTTACTGCAAGGAGGGGACTTTGGAGACACAGCCAGACTGGGTTTTGGACGTTTCCTGGTGACCATTTTCCATTCTTGAATCTGTGGAATAAAGTTCCCCACTCCCTGATGGCCCACCACCACCACCGAACCTTTCCTCCGGCAATGGGAAAGGAGATGGCCAAATCTTTTACACTGGGAGCAGTAAGGAGGGTGATCTTCATAAGTGCAAGGGAGCCTCACATCTTTTGAGCCTAGTCTCACATGGATCTTTGGAGGTTTTGCAAGGGAGACATCCATCTCAACACAAACCTTGGCTGTGCCCGGGTAGAAACCCATGGCCGTTTTTGCTCCCAGCTTAATTGGTTTGCCCAGAGCTGATGCTATAGAGAAAAGAGGTTTGTGATCTGAAAGATGTAAAGGAATATTTCTAACCTCAACCCATAAAGGGATAACTGGGTAGTCCAAGTTGTGAGAGTGATTAGGAGTCCATTTGCATAGCGTGATAGTTGAGGATTTTATCTTCCAGCTTCTCCTATGAAACCAGCGAAGGTAGTCCTCTTCCCTCTTGAAGATGAAGAGTATCTCTTGATTTTTAAGCCTCCTTAGCTTGAATTCCTTAAAACCCCCTTTTATAAGAAAATCTTCAACGTCAGGCATGTAGGTTTTTGAGCTACACCAACCAATTACTGCTCTGCTGAAATTTCCGGGCAATTTCTCTTCTTCTTCCACCGTGAATTGCACTGAGGGGGCTGCATGGTACAAGCCACAGAGTTTCCCTGGCAGTTTAACTCTCTCTCCTTTGAAGAGATCCGAGAAAAGGGTTTTACCACTAATATTGTGATGGCTGGAAATGGCCGCCGGCGGAGATCCGGTCGCCGGAAAGCTAGAGAGAGAAACTGCCATATATATATATATTGTTTTGTTCTCTTAATACTTTACACCAAATATTTTATATTTTAGAAATATTCTAGAGAAAAATTACTAGCATAATTTGATCTAGAACACTCTTCGTTGTTCGTGTGTCTCAACTGGAGGTCATATACTTTTGTGGCTAGCTCATTGATCAATCCATCAACCTACACATATCGTTGCTTGCTCGTCAAGAAAGGTATATTTTAAAACAATAACTTATAATAATCATAAGAGGTCCTGGGTGGATCTACGTTTGGACGATAAAATTTTTCTTTTCGGCTGTCCTATCCAAGCGTAGAACCCAACATAAAGTACCTTCAACAAGTGAAACAATCATCTATGAGTCTTATTTTGAAAAGAATACTTTTAAGTTTTCAGTTAAGGGACAAATGTTTTACTTCAAACTGAGATGAATATTTTGTTGACCAATAGATCATACGCCTTGTGTTAGCCTTGGTTTGCTAAGCCCCATGTTTTGATGTTAACAAACAATATAAGAGCTTAATGTTTGTTTAAGTGTTTCAGGAAAACAAGAATCCATTAAGATTCGGTACTCAAGAATGAAGTCGAAACACTAATGGTGGTCCCAAAGTGGTGAAATATAAAGTCTAGAGGGGGGGTGAATAGACTTTGTTACAAGTTTAAATCTTTTTCGTTTCTTTTGAAAACCAGAAAATGAGTGTTAATCTAGAGTCCTTGTGAACTTTAGATTGTGTGCGGAATTTGGTGGGTGGAGTGAGCAGTAATTAATATGGATAGGTTAGTTTTCACAGTTAATATAATTGCAAGTAAGAATAAAGATAAGAGAGAGAGACACGCAAACTTTAACGAGGTTCGAAGGTGGGGTAATCCTTCTACGCCCTCAAAATCCACTATGTAGTTGGTTGTTGAATAATGAACCAACAGTTACACTTGTGTGAATTTCTGCACGGTATATCTTCACAAGACCAATGTTGCTACTGCACTCGTGCTGGCTTTGTTGTTCCTTCGAAGGTCAAGCTTCTTCAACAACTGCAAGATCCGAACAATAGGACTTGCAAGATCAACTTGTAAGATAGTTGACCTACCCCCTTTTAATCAATAAGTTTGATCAAAAGTAATATCCTTCAACGTGATGTGGTGCTTGAGGCAAGGAAACCTTCAAGTGTTTACACTATAGCTTTTTGGAAGGAGGAGAAGTTTGCTTCTGGATAAGAAGTTTAGAAATCTCTCTTTATCAAGCTTTTTGGGCTAACTGTGAATGAGATAGCTTTAGTGATTGCTTCGTTGTGTTGTTGTATCAACGTATCTCATCATCTTTTTTCTCCAGTCTTCCAAGAATGCTATTTATAGCTGGATTGGATAATCTATCCGTTGAATTATAATGGACTATCCGTTGCATTTGCTGGCTTCAATTTTGAATGAAGATTGTGATTTGAAGATTCTTCGTTGAAGTGGGTGTTTGGACTTTACCCAATTGTTGAGAAAGGATTCCCCAAAATCCGTCTTCTAGCCGTTGTTCAAGAA